ATTTGTGTATTGTAGGTAGAACGTGTTGTCATGCACTCATCGGTGCAAACGAACTGCATTAAAAATCCAACCGAGTGAACGAACTTTTATACTTTTTTTTTTCTCTTTTGCGAAATAATTCTAGAACTGTTATTACTTTGGAAACTTGTTAAAAAAAAAAGAAAAAAAAAAAAAAACATGGAAAATAATTGCAAATGTATAATTTTGTATTATATTATTTCATTTATAAAATAGTATGTAAAAAAAAAAATTTATTTTTGTTAAATAATTAAAAATAATGGAAAATTATTTTTACATATGTTGTGTACACGTGTTTTACTAATATATATATATATCAAGAAAATCGACTTTGAATATTCGCACAGTACGCGTCTACTTGATCTGATAAGTTCGTAGGATATTTCCGAAAAGTTCATAGGGTATTTCCGAAAAGTTTATAGGGTACATGATCAAATGCACATGTACTTTGTAAAAATTCAAAGTTAATTTACTCGAAAAGCAAAGCTACAAACGAACAATTTTTATTACATATATTTCCAATTGATATTTTTTCATGTAGAATAATCACGCCCATTTCGCTTGTATCAACAATTACCGATCACCCTCTATATAATATATGAAATATATAATTTTGCATTTTAACCATAATTCATAATTCATAATTCATAAGAAAAGTAATCTTATGTAAAAGACCATATCACATAATATATTTGAATTATTACAATCGATAAGTTTGTTAGAAAGTTTTCCGCAATATTCCATCAAACCAATTGAATTATTTTCATACACCATGATTAATAAATACTACGTTTGACTTTCTTTCATTTTACAATGTGTCTCCCCTATATATTTTCTCTTCCTTCTTTCTCTTTTCTATCTATCACATCTATCTTTCTCATTCTTTTTAACATTAGTGGAACACTACATATTCACTTTGAAAGGAAAATAACGCGGGAAAAACATGAAACTGTATATTCTTCTTATTACAATACCGTTTGAAATTCTTTATTCATACAAATAAGATTCTACTTTCATGTAGAATATTCTTCTGCACGGAAGTCCCGTATACACTCCCTCCTTACCCCCTTCTCAAGTGTGTATGTGTTGCTAACCAACTTTTATCAGATTTATACAATATTGTATAATATATTTCTATATACTTGTGGTACATAAAAAAAACAAAACATATATATATATAAGGAAAGAAAATAATTATTCTTGAAGAAAAATATTACACATATATATATATATTGTTTTTATAATAAATTTTACACGAAAGAAATTAAAATAAAGATCATAAGATAATATTGTTGAATAGGTAATAAACCTATACCATATAATAATAAATTACCTTGCCAGGTGAACACGAGTTCTCGTATTTCGTATTGACGTTCAAAGTTCAAAGTAAAAAAGGTGGGTGGGGGGGGGGAAGACAAGAAAAAGAAAAGGGATAAAGGGTAAGGAAAAATGATTAGATCGTAAATCGTTAAAGACTTCATATAATGATCGTTACTATTTTATCTTTGAAATAAGTATACTTAAGATTTTACTTTATTTTATTTTATTTTATTTTTTGCCCCCTTTTTGAAACGATCCTTTTTCTTCTAAGTACTTCATTTTTCTTTGGTTTCTTTTTCTTTCTTCTCATTTTTTTGTTTTTTTTCTTTTTATTTTTTATTTTTCATTGGTTTCGATTGGATCGTTTGTACCGGGGCAAATAACCCGACAAACTATTATTTTATAATCTTCACTGTTACGATACGGTATATCTTTCTATCTATCTGTATTATTGATGGATACTATGAGGCAAATTGGATCGTTAATGTCGATTAAACTGAAAGAGGTTTTACTGTAATTAGAAACGAGTTAGCAGATCGCACCACCATCGTTAACCTGTATATATCTTTACCTATTATGTTTCCTATTATCTATTAAAGAGTACAAACGTTTCATATTATTGATTAAATAGACCATAATATTCGAATTCTGTCTTTTCATGACTATTATTATTATTATTATTATTATTATATCATTTTAATCTTTTAATTGACAATAGACTTCACAGTTTAAGTTCATATTTTGTTTACAGTTAAATCTTTACTACGTGCAACATTTAA